CAAGTTTTTTAAAGATTTAAATGTTTTTAAACACCGAAATTGAGAGAATGTTGTCTGGTGGCGTCATGCGGCAAATGCTTATTTCAAGACATCAAAGTGCCCACACACAAAAACTTGCAATCACATTGCTCGTCAAAATGACAGTTGGTAGGCCATCGCTGTTCGCCTGTGGAGTTCTGCGGTAATGTAAAGGCGCCGTATACTCATTTACACACGGCGATTTTTGTTGCCGCAACTCGTCGTTTGTTGGAGAGAGCGCGACGAGGAAAGGAGAGAGGCACCGAGTTGCTCGTGCTCGGGCAACACGCTTTGTGCTCTCGTTCGTCTGTGTAAATTGAACCGCTGTTCACAGCTGACAACAACAATTGCATACACACAAATAGCCGTGTGTAAATGAAACGAGCAACACCAAAAGGGAATGTGAAAAATCGAGGGGACAAAAGTTTTCGTGTATAGACGCAGTCTAAGAAAATAAGCCATTGTGATTACAAGCGACATCTGGCGGCATTTTAACTGAAATTACCACTGCAAAGGAAGTTGGTAACCATATCATAAATAGACAACAAAAAAGCAAAAAAATCGCAACTGTTGATAAACACAGTGGAGTTAAAAAATTAAATATTTTTATTGAGTTGAGGGGAAATAGTATTTAAGATTCAAAAAATGGATTGTGAAGATATGCAGATGATTGAGGAGCCAAATCTCTCGGTGAGTATGTCTATATTGGTCTATATGTCCAGGACATCAAATGACTTTATGGCGTAGTTACTGAATGTTTGTAATAGCTAATACCCCTCTATTATGAATTCATACGATGCACGATAAACGTTTGCGTTCTGCTATTCTCTTACGAATCGATGTTGTATGAAATCCGAAAGTTAGCGTTGCTGATTTGTGCTGGTTTGCAAGGAAAAGTGAACAAAAACCACAGCTATTAACAACAATTCACCTGTCGGGCATATGAAAACTATAATACAAGAACTGATTTCATACGATACGCTTGCAAGCGTTTATCGTCTATCGTATGAAAATTCATAATAGGGACAATCTCGCTTTAACAAAGAATCTACATTTTTTAAACATGTCGTCATCATTGTAAGTACTCTATTTGAAAATTTTAGTTTTTCAAGAAAATCGAAGCTTGAATTTGGCACTGGAAACG